TACGATTGGGGAAGGTCAGCTATGAGCACCCCCTCTCGCCCGATCATAGATCGGCCTCTACTAACCGTGATATCTTGTTTTGAAAGCATTATGTGTTATTGTTCTAGTTATTAGCCTAGAATTACTATGTTATGCGCATAGCAAACAAGTATAGACCAAATCGCCTAAATTGGAACAAAACATTTCATGTTTGTTTTAAAAATGGTTTGCTACTCGCAAGTAGGTTAAAATGCAGGTTTTGCCACCCTCAAGCGAGCTTTTAGAAAAGATGGTTTTGCCACTATCTAGTGGGCTTAAAATTCACAATTTTAATGCGTTATCCCAATTTAAGCAATTCGACCTCCATCCACAGGCATTCAAGTAGTTATATCACATAAGCAGCTAGCCTCATGGTAATCATGCTGTTATGGCAACACTCACACGCATACGGTATGCTGAAGCACAAATGCTTACCGAGTACTCCGAGCCAAAACAAAAAAACTAGTTAGTAATCATATGCATGATCCTAGTTCATGTCAAATTGACTACTGCAACACATACAGGATGCGATTAGAGTAGGCTCGGCTAACCTAAACATGGCATGTGAAATGCAATCAATTGATGCATGTATTCAACTTGGAATTGAAGTACAAATGCAGTTAGCATGATGTACCGAGCCCGATGCATGCAATACTGATGAATGATGCACGTATGCATAGCATAAGGTATGCTAATTTAAATATGCCCTAGTCTACCATCATAAGCGAGTAAATAAAAGGAAAGAAAGACGTGGGATTGGAAGACATACACACACTCACGCACACTTATTACACAATTGCCCTCACTCGGAGGGTCCAAATAAATATTACAGTCCGAAATAAATAATACATTAATTATTTACATAATTTCTGATTAATTAATAGAATGAATGCAAAAAGAAAGGTAGCCACAGCCCCCGCCTCGGGATGCGCAAATGATGCATGCTCGAACCCGTCTCGCCCGGAAAGTCCGTACCATACCACTGCTGCCTCGGTTTACACTGCCCTGCTTCTCTGAAAATTGCCAAAGTTCTGGGACAGGTCCCTTGAACACTGTGGAACACCATCGGCTGAAGGAAATGTCCACCGGCCATTGAAAATATCCATCGGCTGCTGATGAAGTAATCGGCCATTCCCCAATGACCGGTCGGCACTCCATACTGCTAGTCGGCCAAAAATCCCTGCAGAATCTGGTTTTTGACAGCAACAAGGACAGACAGTGTATGGCATGGAATTTCAAGCAAATGTATGCATGGCTACTCTCCCAATCATGTAACGGACTCAAGGGAGTACGGCCCTTGACCCTCGGGCTATCAATCGTGCATTTGATGCATGATAGCCTAAGAAGCCAAGGTTGCAATTCGATGTAGAAATGCATGCAACACACAAATGAGGACCAAGATCCTATCATGCCAAAGTCAAGGGCCTCGGTGACCGAGGGTTGAGGTGTGTTTTGTCACTCGAAGTACAAACACCCCTCATCCTTCAAGTTTGGTTTGACACCCCAAACCAAACAATGTAATACATGTATGCACTTGTGATTCAAGTTATGCAACATAAAGCTAAGATGCAAAACATGCCAAACGTGATGCAACCTATCATGTTAAGTATGCAAAGTGCTAATCATATGAGATGCAAATGTAATGCAAACATGGACAAACATGCCCTAAGGCTAGCATGGGACCACATGTAATGAGCCAAATAAGCAACAAGCATATGATAAGCATGCAATGGTGGACTTAAACCATAAATGGCAGACCTCAACCTCGCCATAAACAGAGGCCAAAATGATGTACAAGAGCACAAATGATGCATGCAAGTGTGTGCACGTCAAGGTCCACCACCTAAGCATGAAAGGGGACAACTCTAAGCATACTTAGAGGCGATATAAATGGACATTAAACCAACATGCTAAGCTCTGAAAATGAATAGAGGATAATGCCAAATCAAACAAAAACATGCAAGTAAGGCATGAAACAATGACCAACACTTGAAGTCAATAAAGGGGGTCAAACCAAAGCTATGTCAACCAAATCTTAAAGGACCAAAATGAACTAAAACAATCCCAAGGGACTCCAAAACAGGACTAAAACATGCAAAGATCATGGTCAAAACATGCCAAGGAATGAGTCCAAAACAAGGGGATTCAAGGCCACCAAAAGTGAGCATCACTCAATACCTATCCCAAGCAAACATGGCATGAATTTTCAATGCAAAACAGAGTTCTAGCATGCAAAAGGGCCCTCAAAACCCACTGATATTGTAGCCTAATGTTTAAACACATAGGCATGCACAATGACCACCCTTTAAGGCGCAAAACTACAACACTTCAAGGCAATGAATGAGACGCAAATGATAATGTAAGATCACATTATATGGACTGAAACATGATATTAAATGATGCCGAATGATGATAACAAGCTTATGCTAAGCATGTTGGTGACCCACACAACCAAGGCTTGCAAGCCAAAATGCAAAGCAACTATATCAAGCATGCCAAACATGACAAAATCAGTGGCCAACAGACTTTAAGCATGACAAAACATGGCCAAATACTTTACAAGGTTAAGTCAAAACAAGAGGATATGCTAGGCTAAACATATAGCACACTTCTAGGCAAGATAGAGAATTACAAAGTAAGTATAAAATGCATGCTAAGGGCCAACAAACCAACATTGGACAGAGATATAATATGACCCAAAACACCCAAAAAACTTCTGAAATGGGACCAAAAATAATCAAGCATGCATGTTCCCCTTTTAAGCCAAAACAAGGGTAAAAGAAAGACAAAGGGGAGAGTGGTGTCCCTCCCCTACACAAGACTTCAAAATCACTCCATCACCACTGAAAATCCACTGGATTTCAGTGGTTAGGAGACCAACACAACAAAGTAAACAAAGCTTAAAGAAAAGGGTACCAAAATAAGCCAAAAGGGGCCTAAGGTGAGGAGTTCGACCCCCAATGCCAAAACACCCTTAATGAAAGATGTTAAGCACGAAAATATAAGACTTTTTCATGTTAAACACAAAGCCTAAATCAGCATGCAAGACAGGTAGAAAACTAGTGCAAGATTGGGGAAACTAAAGCAAGTGTCTCATCCTTGAAGAAGCCTTGAAGAACAGATGATCCAGCCACTCTCTACTGATCAAAATCAGTCCAAAACCTCAACAAACAACCCTCAATGCCTCTCAATCTCGGATCAAGGTGTAATGGTGTGTGTTTTAGTGCAAAAGTAAGGCCAAAATGCACTTTTAGGCTCCCAAACACACCCTAAGGATGAGAGAGAGGGAGATATAGAGAGAGAGGGCGATACATCAGATATATAGATATAGAAGCTCTGGTTTTTTTGATTCAAAAACTCCAACCTTTTTCAAAGGGAGAGGATGAGTGCTTATATAGGCAAAGGGCCATGACTTAAGCTTCTCAAGGAAGCTAAATGGAAGGGGCAAAGGGTGCAAAGGAGTCTTGGCTTCTTGGAGAAGCTAAAACAGCTGGCCAAGCTTCCCCAAGAAGCTTGGCCAAAGGGTTCAAGCTTCTAGAAGGAAAGGGGGTTCAAAGGCTCACACCAGCCAAAAACTGCACGGGGAGGAGTGATAGTGCATTCCAGCTGGCACAGCTGGCATGCACCATGCCTCAAGGGTGCAAAGGAGTCACACCGGCCAGCAAAAGAGGTCGCCGGCAGAATAAAGTGCCGGCCGGCCAAATATAGTGCCGACCGGCCATTTATTTTAAGAAACCATGGCCGGTGACACCCATAAACAGCCGGTGATGCTAGGGGAAGGCCGGTGGAATGTGGGGATGGCCAACAAGCCATTCCCCGCCCTTCAAAGAAAAAACACAAGTGTTTGGTGCCAAAACCAAACACGGAACAGTCGAGTCGAGAGATCCTGTGACAAGGCGCGCAGCCAAGACTTTCGGGAACTCAAGACGAAACACCAACAAGGAGGATCACCGAGTGTTCCAATGGTGACGTCCAAGTCTTGAGGACGGTCAAAAATGGAGTGTCTACAGTATAAAAATACAATTTGAGTATGCTTGTCTGATGTTGATGAAAACTAATGGGTAGTAACTTCAAGTGTGCTGGATTTGAAAACTGATGAAAACTGATGGGTAGTGAACTTGTATGCTTGTCCGATGTATGAACTTGTTACCTACATCTCTGAACTTCAAGTGTGGTTAGATCTGTGTTGCATTTGAAATTGACTTTTGTGTTTACTTGTAATTATGATTGACATGTCAACGAGTTCAAACAATGATGCTGGATTTTTTCAAAATAAAAGATGAAAATGTGGGAAAAAAGCAGGAGTGTGCATATTAGAATCAGAGAAAAATCCAAGGAAGTTGTATTTCAAGTGTGCAAATAAGGCTTATGACTACTTTGTGTGGGGAGTGGCTACTTCACTTCATCAATCCCCATCCTCAGATACCAAAGTACTATCAATGCATAAAGTATGGTTATGCACAATTGCATTTTTACTCAATTTCATTAACCTCACCATGCCTAGCCACTTGAATTGAACCTATGCCACAAGGAATTGAACCTGTCCAACTTCCCTAATCACCAACCACTAGAAAATATTGACTAAAACAAACATTAATGTCATCTGCACAATAAAGGCATTCTAGATGAAAATAATGAGAACTTTATATATGCATACACACAATTCCATGAAAAATAACATTGTTCCCAAACATTAAAAATACATAAAAAAAATGTCCATCAAAAATATCCAATTCCCACCAAACATTAAAAATACATTAAAAAAAATGTCCATAAAAAATATCCAAATCCCACCAAACATTAAAAAAACATAAAAAAGATGTCCATAAAAAATATCCAAATCCCACCAAACATAAAAAAATACACCCAAATCCACAAATATAATAACATCATCGTTCGGTGCAAGCCTTCCAGGGATGTCCATCCACATGACTGTCAACAGGATTATGTGAGGCTTGTGACAGTTGGACTGCACTAGTACCTCAAAGCAACTCCTGAAACGATGCCGGAATGGGATACACTAAAGGCATTGAATGAGGTGGCATTGACTGAGGCGTGTTATTTCCCTGCAATAGTGATACATGTATTAAAATATTTATAGAATCTATACTACAATTTCAATGTAAAGTATGTAAGCAATTACAACTCACATCATATGTAGGATACATGACATGATGAATACTTGTACGATCCATGGCAAATGAAGGTTGAGATTGAGATTCAGGTCGAGATTCGAATTGAGATTGAGAAATATAGATTGCACGACCATGACCCTAAAGTAAACCAACATAACGAAAAGAAGAACTGAAATGAAAAAAAAGTAATAATGCATTTTCATTTTAAAAAACAGACAATATGAAATATTACATCAACATAATTACTATGACCCATGCAAAAGAAGGTTGAGATTGGGATTCAGGTCGAGATTGGGGTTGAGATTGGGATTCAGGTCGAGATTGGGATTGAGATTGAGATTGAGAAATATAGATTGCACGACCATGACCCTAAGGTAAACCAACATAAAGAAAAGAAGAAGTGAAATGAAAAAAAAGTAATAATACATTTTCATTTTAAAAAACAAACAATATGAAATATTACCTCAACATAATTACTACGACCCATGGCAAAAGGAGGTCAAGATTGACCTTGTGGAGTGTAAACACCCTAAAGTAAACCAACATAAAACAAAGAATAAGACAATGTGAAGAAAAAAAGTTAATAATGTATTTTCATTTTAAAAAACAAACAATATGAAATATTACCTTAACATAATTACTACCCATGGCAAAAGGAGGTCGAGATTGACCTTGTGAAATGTAAACACCCTAAAGCAAACCAAGATAAAGCAAAGAATAAGACAATGTGAAGAAAAAAAGTTAATAATGCATTTTCATTTTAAAGGTTCAATTTCATTTTAAAGACAACATGAGGTTCAATTTCCCTAAGGTCTATGCATGTCAAAGGTTGCATACAAAGTTAAATATTACCTGTATTGAATGATTACCCATGGCGGAAGAAGGTTGAGATTCACCTTGAGAAGTAGAAAAAGAACCACCCTACATGCATCACAAAAGACCAAAAATAATAAATATCACGCTACTAGTTGCAAGAATAACCAATCCAACAAGATTAATACAAGGTTGCACACAGTAGTAATAATTACCTGACTAGAAATATTACCCATGGCGACAGGAGGCTCAGATTGACCTTCAGGAGTACAAAAACCATCACCCTGCAAACAACCAATTTATTTAATTCATGATTTTCCAAACACACATAACACAAAATTGATAACACATAACAATCACACATAACAAAATTAATTACCTGCTTAGATTGCATTCTTTTCTTCTTTGCAATAGATTTTTCATCCCGCCCTTGATCCTCCTTTTTCCCTTACTAGTTGCTTGTCTTTTCTTGAGTCCCTTGGCTTGAATTGGACAATCTACTTCATCACTCTGTAGGCATGTGTTAGCTGAGGAATTTCTGAATTCAGTGATCTCCACTTGACCACAAGTGTGCACACTTAATTTGTCTTCAACCATGACACTCAGTTCTTCACCTTTTGCAAGTGACAAATGATAAGTTTCTTCACTTTCGACGGCTCTATTTGCTATTGCTCTAAATATATTCATCAATGACCTATATCGGTCGCTTTGATGTAGTTTCACATCAACTTTGACATCATACCCACGCCTATCTTTCACACTTTCAGCCCTTGCTTTTTTAGTCCATCGTTTGCGTATGTATTGTGCAGGAAGGTCCTTTGCATTGATTATCTCTCTAAACACCTTTAAACAATGTCGACACACTATACCCGTCACTTCAAACTTCTTGCAATTACAACTCAAAAAACCATCTCTATCCATTGTTACATTCTTATCTTTTTTTCCATCTACATCTGTTTGAATTGTGAATATGGTACTCTCACCATCATGAATAGTGCCTACAATGGACGCTTCAATGGACTGCACGTACTCATTTTGGAATTTCTCAAAAATTATTTTGGTGTAAATATCTGCCATTTGTTTTAACATCACAGTTGGAATGGAAACCCTTGGCAATTTTTGACGCAAATTATACTCGGCTTCCAATTCTTTATACCTCTTGTCATAGAGCACCCTCTCAAAATGCATGAAAAATTCCATCAAGTTATGATCACAATTGAGATAATCCTTCAAAAATGCATTGAATGATTCACTTAGTTGAGTGCTACTTATTCCAGCTGCCCAAGAATTCATAATATATGGCCATCCTCATTTCTCCTTCACACCAAAAGTTTGCTCCAACTAATGATTGTTGTGTGCATCATACCTATCAAGCATTTGGTCCCATTGTATTTTGAATTCTTCTTCATCATCAATTTGATGCATAAATTTTGAAAACACACCCTTCACCCCAACATCTTCAAAGAGGGAACTCACATGCTTCACAGCATTTTGCATCAACTGCCATGTACAAAGTCGGTGGTTTGTACTAGGCATGACAATTGGAATGGCCTTAGCCATCGTAGCATCTTGATCTGTGAAAATAATTTTTTGAGCTTGGTTTGACATTGCCTCCAAAAAAATCTGAAACAACCATGTGAATGATTCGGCAGTCTTATCATACATCAACGCTGCACTGAATATAACTGTTTCTCGATGATGATTAAATCCAACAAAGGTTCCAAAAGGTCTATGTTCGTTATTTAATTTGTAAGTAGTGTCAAAGGTCATTACATAACCAAATTGAGCATAGTCCATTATCATTTGTGCATCAGCCCAAAATATGTTACTTATTTGCTCGTCACAATCTAATTGGACTGCATAATAAAAGGATGGATTTTCCAAAGTTTTCTTACGAAAGTATTGCAACACACTACCCGCTTCTCCATATTCCAAATCTTTTTGTCTTTTCGATCTCAAGTAATTTTTTTGGTCCAATTTGGTGAAACCAAGTGATGCTCTTCCACCAGATTCCCTACCAAATAGCTCATAAGCAGACCTAAGAGGAATTTCATATTCTGAAGCCAATTCTACTTCAATTGCTTGGGTGGTAGATATTTTTCTTTGGGATGACAACATATGAATGCACTCTTGAGGTACAAGATCATGATTATGATGTTCAACAAAATCGATGGCAACATATTTTCCTAAATTTCTATCTAACTTGATACCAAATTGAGCACCACAACCACACCTCACCTCTTGCCTTGGAAATTTTACTAGTAGATCTTGCTTGTCAATACCCCGAATTCCCTCTTTGTAACATACAAAAGTCCGTGAAATTATTTCCTTAGTATGTTTGTTCTTGTGTACATATAGCTTCCTAATACTAAAGCCCACCTTTTCGCCATAGGTATTGTAAAAATCATATGCAGCTTGTTCAGAGTCAAATGACATGCCCAATTTCGGCTTCCAACCACAATTAGCCAACTCATCAACAACATTATTTTCTTTGATTACCTACAATTCGATTTATAGGTTCAATGAATCAATTTATATTACTTGGATCTATGACTTGGATTTTTTTGGACAGGTATGATAATGTTTAATTTTGTACCTCTGTGTTTCTAATTTAATAAAGTACCTCTCTGTTTTTAGTTTAGTTACATCAGCAATCCATCAACATATACCAACTTTCTAGTGCAAAAATAAAAAATAAACAACATGAACTATACATTTTCGTATAAAAGTGATAGTAATATCATTTTTTCCATCCATATAATTAATAAATTATTAAGGAAGCTAAGTGTTATATCAATTTAAATTTTATAAAAATTCAATGTAATTATGTTAAAATTATAAGATTTATTAAATTTTTTTAAATCTCAAGAGAGTGAATGTAATTTATCCAAAATAAAATTTGGCCAAGCATGCAAATTGCTAATTTTTGTTTCATTTCATCTGTGTTCCATTTCATCTGTGTGTCATTTAATCTATGTTTCATTTTGACATTATTTTATACATATATACATCATTTTTTCCATCCATAAAATTGGCCAAGCATGCAAATTGCTAATTTCTGTGCACCCACTTAGTTTCCTAGGAAACCTTAATGGTCTCTGTTTTATTTGACAACAGAGGTCCATAACCATCATACCATTCATCAACAACAGCCCCTTCTAAGGAAAAATTATAAGAACAACAGCCCCCCAAGGAAAAATCAGTTCCATACCATTCAAAGAAAAATTATATATAAATTATATATACGTATATAGCGGACCATCATACCATTCATCAACAACAGCCCCCCCAAGGAAAAATTATAGGAACAACAGCCCCCTCCAAGGAAAAATCAGTTCCATACCATTCAAGGAAAAATTAATATAAATTATATATACGTATATAGCGGCCCAGAAATGAAACAGAGATGAAATGGACCTCGTCATGGCTGCAATGTCGACTTGACGCCGTCGCGTCGCCGCCGGACTCGCATCCCTCCGCCATCCTCTGTCCATCACTGTCGCCTCCCTCCACCATCTCTCACACTTCGTTTCTTCGCAGATCCCACAGATCGTGTCTCCGGTCTCGGATCGTCTTGCAGTCTTCGCCGATCGTCTCTCTCTCTCTGCGCCTCTCTTCTCTCTCTTTGTCCAGCTCTGTATGTCGCAAGAGTTAGGGCTAAACATAGAGACGAAAACGAAGATGAAATAAACAAGCGGGAAATTCAAATTTTTGGAAAAAAAAAAAACAACTAAACAAAACGACGTCGTTTTGGAGAGTGCGGCAGGGAGGGCCGCAAGAATGTGCGGCCGAGGATCCTTACTCAAATTTATGATGCCGCATGTGTCATTTTTTCTTCCAAGAGAAAATATCTGAAGTTTGTAAGAAAGTATTTTTCCCGGTATAGAATGAGACCTACGACGTGGTCTACGGATGGACGACGCCGTTTGTTTGTTTTATATAAAAATTTTAAGGTTTGTTTATGGTGCAAAACACTATGTTTGTTTTCAATTTTTTAGAAATTAATTTTTCTATTTTTCATATATTTTTATTTTTAGTAAATATTTTAAAAATTTAAGTATTTTTTTTATTTTATATGCATCTTATTTAGATGTATCTAAAAAATAAAATATTTATAAAAAATATTTTAAAAAATCAATAAATACACAAGAATACGAAAATGTATTTAATTCTCATTTTTTTTTTATTTTATATTTTGGACATTTCGTGAATTTTTTTATAATTTTTTTCACAAATATAAATATTATAGTTTTTAAGTGTATTTATGTTAGGTATATTTAAAAATTAAAGAAATTACTTAAAATATTAAAAAATATTCAATAAAAATAAAAATAATTTTATTTTTATAAAAAGTAAATCTTAAATCCTGAAACGAGCTGAATATATTTAGGGTGTGTTTGGTAACGTTTACGTTTTCAGTTTATATTATACAAAAATTTTATAAATTGGTTTTTGTTTATTTTTTGTTTATTTTTAGAAAAAACATAAACTACAAATGTGTTTGGTAATTGACAAAATGTTTTAAAAAAATTTAAAAATATAAAAAAGTGGAGAAATAGCAAGTGGCGGCGGAAGACGATGGTGGAAAGTGGTGACGGTGGTGGCGGGTGGTGGCGGTGGCGGTGGGTGGGTGGGTGACGGTGGTGGGTGGTAGTGAGTGGGAGGTGGTGGTGGCGGATGGCGGGTGGTGATTGGGTGGCGAGTAGGTGGCGACTGGTGGGTGGTGGGTGGCGAGTAGGTGGCGGGTGGTGGTGGCGGAGTAAGGTGGCGGGTGGTGAGTGGGCGATGGCGGGTGGTGGTGGGCGGCGGTGGTGGTGATGGGTGGGTGGGTGACGGTGGCGGGTGGTAGCGAGTGGGTGGTGCGGGTGGGTGGTATGGTGGGTGGATGGTTGGCTGGCTGGATGACGGTGGCGGGTAATGGTGGTAAGCGAGTGGGTGGTGGTGGTGGCGGTGGGTGTGGGTAGTGGTAGCAAGTGGGTGGCAGATGACGGTGGTGGTGGGTGAGTGGGTGACGGTGGCGGTGGTAGGTGGTAACGAGTGGGTCGTAGTGGGTGGTGGTGGTGGGTGCAGGTGGGTGGCGGATGACGGGTGATGGTGGTGGGTGGATGGGTGTGTGACGGTAGCGGATGGTAGCGAGTGGGTAGTGGTGGTGGTAGGTGGATGGCGGATGGGTGGTGAGTAGTGGGTGGTGGCGGCGGGTGGGTGGTGGTAGGTGGTGGATGGTGGTGGCAGGTGGGTGGTGAATGGTGGTGACAAGAAGATGGCGGGCGGTGGTGGCGGGCAGTGGATGGTAGTGGCGGGTGGGGAGTGGTGGCGGGTGGATGGCAGGTGGGTGGTGGGTGGTGGTGGTGGTGGTGGCGGTGGCGAGAGGTGGGTGGTGGTGGCGAATGGGTAGCAGGTGGGTGGTGAGTGGTGGTGGATGGTGGGTGGTGGAGAGTGGTGGCAGAAGACGGTGGTGGAAAATGGTAGCGGGTGGTGGCTAATGTTGGGGGATAAAAAAAAAAACTAAAACCTCAAAAAAGAAACACATTTTTTGTGTTTTCATTTTTTGACCAAATTTATAAACTGAAACCACTGATTTATAAATCAAAAATTTTACCAAACAAGTTTTTATTTAAAATTTTTAAATTTTTATAAATATAAATAAAAAATTAAAAACGGAAGTTTTGTAACCGTATACCCACCCATTCGAAGGTGAAAATTGTAACATATATTTTTGTGTGACAGTGAGGACATATTTAATGCTTGAATTGAGTACTACTCACTATAGACAATTTATAGTGATGTGGTCACTTTTAGTGACAAATCAACGCATCAAGAATAGGTAGACAAATATATAGACATAAGGGTGTTTGGTGGGATTATACAAGTAATTTCTAATTTATGAAATGTCAAATTATTTGATATAAGTTTTATTTATAATTTATTAAGTAGAAATGTTTTAAATAAAAAAAAAATTGATTTACCAAGAGTTAAGAGATGGATACTTTTAGTTTTTTCTTTGTGATTATCAATTTTTAACTTAAAATAATCTCCACCAAGCACTCTCATAAAAAAATGTGCACGGTGCAATTTTAGTGTAGTGTGAGTGTAAACTTATAAATCAAATCGTGAGGTTGACAAATAATAATTTGGGTGGTTTGGATTGTTTCAATTGGTTAGTTGATTAAGCAATAATCTTAAATAATTATCAAGTATTTACATAATATATAAAATTAATTTACATAATATTATATATATATATTAACTATAACAACGTCGGTTTCAAATGTGGATTATAAATTTTAAACCACTGATCGAACTAAAGTGCAATTAGCGGACAGATCAGCACAAATTGTGCGATTTTAACGGATTTGACGATATTTTGCACAACTCTAGACATAAGTACAAAAATAGGTATATTGGGCCTCTATAATTTTCTAACTTAAAAATTAGGACAAATTACAAATACACTTTTGAAATTTACCTAAAATATGAATTATTCTTTGTAATTCTGAAAATTGTATTCCAGCATTTCAAATTTCTAATCACAAAATAATGACATATTTTATTATTAAATCATCAAATCAATTAACATTTTTTAATTATATCATAAATATATTTACATTAATATTTTTTGTAATTTTATTGTTATATAGGAGAGTAGTTAGGAATTTTATTTTATTTTTGTTAATTCTGTCAAATTAAAAATTTTAACAATAGGATATTTATAATTTTCAGGACTAGAAGGGGCAATCAATATTTTAAGAAAATCTCAAATGTTGTGTTTGTAATTTATCCTAAAAATTATTAATAAGAAAAAATAATAATTATCTAAAAGAATTACTTCTCTAATTTTTAGATAAATAATTTTTAAACTTAAGGCTAACTTAGAAGATGGGGCCCGACTTTCGTACATATTTTTAAAATATATATGTATATATATATATTGGTAAAATAATAACAATCTTCATTTTATTTTAATTTTTTGCTTGTACCTTCTATAAATTTGTTACACATGGTACATATAATTATTGACCTAAATCATAATTATTGAGATAAATTTTGAACATTTTCGATTGTTAACACTATTAATTTATTCACATTTTTTTTAACGTAGTAAATTAAATTATAAAATTTGATTGATTTCAACTTTAAAAAAATTATTTCTCTAGAAGCAATTAAATAATTCATATATTTGATTTTAAATAATTCACCAATTCAATTGTTTGTTAAATTTTCATTTTTAAACTATTAATACTATAACCTATCTAAAAATAAATAAATAAATAAAACTACTAATACTATAATGTGGTGTTTGGTTTATTGAAATTAAATTGAATTGAATTGAATGGTCACTCCTTATACAAAATTACTATTTCCTCACTATTGTGAATGATGATTTCGTTTGTAATTTTTTTTAATAAATAAAATGTAAAAATAAACATTATGATGGAAAGATTACTCTATTCAATTTTATTTTAATAAATCAAATATAACTTAAGACCGAAATAATTAACCAAACATAACTTAAGATTCAAATTGTTTCGGCAATCTATATTTTAGACAAAATTTTGAAGCTCGAGGTAGTGGCATTACCCACTTCCCTCAGGAGTAGCCCTGAAAACAGTTAGTCCACCGTTCAATCATCCTTCCAAACTTTTGATAGATCATCCATTCCACCTTCGCGGGTGATTTTATAAGCACCCAAATAACAACTTAATATGCTTAATTAAAATTTTGAAATTTTAACTCATATTAAATCTTAATATAAATTTACAAATAAAAACAAGATACATTAAATCTTAAAATATTTTTTTCCCTTCTCATGGTACACCCAAACCACTCAAACGTAATCTTCATATTCGATTATCTTCATCTTTTTCTATAAATTTTAATTATTTTATCTTCATTTTTTCCCTCACTCTAAAATTTCAATCAACCTCATAAAAACTCATGAATTACTTATTTAAGTCAAGTTTGGAAAGTCTCAAATAATTCATCTTTTTATCTTTTTTTCATCGCATCACTTCTCTATTTTTCTACACATTTTTTCATAAAAAGATAAAAAATATACTTATTTAAGTCATCCCAAACAACCTCTTAATTTCGTACTAAACTTTTACCTATTTATTTTCGTACTAAACTTTCTTAACATATTTTCTTACATCCGCCTCCACTGAAACTTTGCAGGACAGCAAGATGCTTGCATCCGCGAGTGATGACTGGACAGTCAAGATATGGGAATCGACATCCTTACGTGAAATCAATATTTCGAAGATTTGGATATTTGAATATTTCCTTATGAAATCAATAAAGAGATGCTTCAATACTTGTGTATTGTTTTATAAAAATAATGCTTGGGACTCCCTTTTGGGCGTCAGGATCCTCTGGAGTAGAACTCGTACAGTGATCTCCTAAAGTAAAAAATCCAACGGTTGAAAATAAACCTCACCAAAACGACGTCGTTTTGGTGAGAATTTCAAAGAAAACAAAAAAAAAAAAAATTCAGCTTTAATTCAAAACTTCAAAGGGTT